AAGCACTGCTACAAGGTGATGGATAGGTGACTCAGTAAAAATAATTGAACGCTCTAAAAAGCAAAAAGTGTCACTGCAACAAAAAATACCAAATATCTCAAAGCCCAATCCTGCAGCCTTCTGGACTGGAGAGAGCGAGAGGAGGATAAAACCTCAGGCAAATAAGACCCTTTACCACATAATTATTCAGAGCACAGTATTGTTGTGATTATGACTTTTAAAAGGTAGAGATGAGCTACTCCAACTGCCTATCACCCCTCCACGTTTCAGGTCACCTTCAAGGAATCCAGTGTTCTAAATAACCAAAGCGAGGTCGGTGGCTTAGACACTAGCAGGCCCTGGATTCAGACAACATCTCTTTCCTATCTCTTAATTTTATATTCTAGACAGTAGACTTTTTGTGGAGGGAATTGGATTCTTAATAAGACCGCAATTTTAACCTAGTAAAATAAATATTCCGGGATTTAGGTAAATCACTATGAGAAACTGTCTTCTATATGTTAAAATACGTTATTTTAATAACTAAAATTTCCCAATACAATGATTAGATTTAAGAAATCTACTTTAAGTGAATCATTTACCTTAAAAGTGAAAAGATTTCTATTTCCTTTTGTTTAAATACAATAGGCCTCTATGTACACGAAGAAAATTTACCAATCTTCTCCTAATTTAGCATAATTTAAGAGAAAATTATTTCAACTAGAAAATACTCTCAACTGCATCGGGGAAAAAAAAATCACCATGATTCCTGTGCTGGGTGTAAATGGAACAGAACAGAAAGGGCCTCTACGTGGCAGAAAGGGAGTTGCAAAAATCTTGTTTTCCTAGGACTCACTATGGCAAGGAAATCCTTAGCAAGGTAGGAAACCTGGACTGATGTCGCCTGCACTGATTTGTGATATTGCCTTAAAACTTGTGCACTTTTTAAAATACAGCCGATGCAACACAATAGCAGTGATAAGACTTCACCTGAGAAAATGTACCCTTCTAGTTTTTTCCTAAGACACCTGGAAAAAATGAGAGGCCATTAGAATTCAAGGGCCTCCTCCCAGTTTCTATGATATCCATGAAGTCCCATAACTAACAGTAAAACCGGGACTCTAAGAGAAGCCGTCCTCCCAGTGGCCACCTGCCAGTTCCCAGCAGGATTAGTGGGGCCTCGGGATCTGGAGACTGGGTTCACGTCCCACTTGCCCAATGCTACGTTATCGACGTTGACAAATCATCTACACTCTACATCTCATCTCTGAAATGGCGAAAATGAGCTTTCCCCCACAGGTGGGCTGAGAACGTTAAATGAGAGGATGGGGTTGAGGTAGTTTTAAAATTTATTTTTTTAAGATGACAGAAGTCGTACTTATGTATAAAACTTTGGTAAGCTGAGAAGCATCTGTACAAATACAAGGTACTGTCATATAAACAACACTGGTAATAAAAATATAAGTAAAAGCAAAAAACCGAAATTAATTTTCTCCTGGGCTAAAATGCCCTAGAAAGAGATCCTCAAATCCGAGGATCGGTCCTCCAAGCGGGTAGAGCCGGGCAAACTAAGGCCAGCCTACTTGTGCAACCAAGGAGGAAGTGAGCGCGGCCCCTCCTTCCTTTTGATTCTAGAGAAGTGGCCCTTATCTGGGGCTCTGGGGACTTGCGTAACCCGAACACCCTCGCACACTCTGCTCTGCAAGGGCTGACTGTAATGAAACGGTCGCTTTTCAACCGCCGGGGGACCAGAGCCCGCCTCGCTCCCGGGGGCGGGGCGGTCGCTCCCCGAGCCCCGCCCACCTCCTCGCGCCGCAGCCTCTCCCGGGTCCGGCGGTGTTGCCTGTCAATCTCCCTCTGACTCTGCAGCCGCTCCTCCTCCAGCGTGCCCAGGAACCTCTCGGACGCGTCCAGTTTCGTTTTCAGCTCTGCAACCTACGGAAGTGGGTCACAGACAGCTGCAGCTAAACCCCACATACCTCTGGGTTTACTCCCTCCCAGCCTAAGCGCCCGAGACAGAATTGCCCCACTCCCGGGCGTCCCCTAGGGAGAGGCTCTACTTCACGCCCCTAACCCAGATCAGGACGTTTGCATTTAAAAAGAAACAAACTTATGGTTACCGGGGCGGGACGGGGGAGGGGCAGAAAGGGCGGGAGGGATAAATTAGGAGTTTGTGATTTGCAGATACTACTATATATAAAATAGGTAAACAAGTTACTACTGTTTAGCATAGGGAACTATACTCAATATCTTATAATAACCTATAATAAGGAATATGAAAAAATATATATGTATAACTGAATGTGCTGTACACCAGAAACTAAGGCAACATTGTAGATCAACTATACTTCAATTAAAGAAAGAAAGCGAAAGAAAGACAAAGAAAGATAGAAGCTTCTGATACAGGAAAGCCAAAACAGCCGCCAGGGTTTCCCTTTCTCCAAACCACACTACTTTCCAGGGACTACAGGTAGACAGGGAGCCTTCTAGGCTTGTCATTCTACTCTCAACTCTCCAGTTAATGCCTTGCCTGAGCTGCCAACGGCAGCGAGGGATAGGGGTAAGTGAGTATGACTACATCACAGAAAAGAGACATGGCCTTCAACCCATCGGTAACCTGCGGCGCTTAATCTGCTACTCAAAACCAGATTAGTAGTCCGAGTAACAACCGTCCAGTTTGAGAAGACGGGCACTTGACCAAAGATGGGAATTGTTCTCCTTGTTAACCCCAGGTCTTCATGCACCTGCAAGTCAGTCAGGAAAGTATCTTAAACATTTTCTTTCTGGGATCCTGTTCTTTAAAATTTGGAGACCCACTCCAGAGTTGATATTACAAGGTGGCTTGACTATGGCATTGTGGAGGGGGACATTATCCTGCTTTTTCTAAATTTGATACGTCTGAGTATCAAAATGGGGAAGAAAAGAGCAATACTGCTGTATTACTCACTTATGGTTAAGTTTCTTAGTTCTGAATTATTTAGGGGTGTTTACTTTCTCTTTCCTCTCTTTTTGAATGTGGGATGATTTTAAATTATAAATTGACTTTTACCCATTAAAAGATATTTTCTCCCAGAAGTTTCTTGACAGA